GCTCTCTCTCCCTCTTAAAAATAAATAAACAATTTAAAAAATTTTTAAATATATATAAAAACATAACAAGGTCTTGCTTATTGGTGTAGAATACCGATTTCACAATCTTTAACTGTAAAAATATATTCAGATCTTACCAGAACTTAAGTAAATGAATAAGATTCTTACTGCAAACTTTAATGAAATTTATATAAATTTTCTATTTTCCATGTCATATATTTCCCAACATCTAATATTACTGATTCTGCAGTTTTGAAAGTTTATTTTCTTTTCTACTTTAAGAAAGTGAAGTTTAGAAAGAGTACTATCTGTTGAAGTGATGATTTGTCCAAAATAGGACATTTGCCAAAATTAGCCAACAAACTGCTAACTTTCTGTTCCACTTTGCATTTGTGGAGAATCTAATCATCACTTATAAGTGATACAATTCCTTTCACATTTCAAAATATGCTCTTATAATGTAATTAATTAAAAAAATGTACAACATAAAACACTCAAGTACCATCCAGTAGCTCTGATTACATTTAACACCAATATTTATATAGTATGTTAACATAATGACACACAAAGCTTGTTCCTGATGCTCTTTTTCCTAAAAATATTTTTCTCTACTCTAAGTTTTGACATATGAAAATCAGTTATAACTGGGGAAACATACTATTTGGATTTTAAATTAGAAGTCATATTGAGGATTTCTTATCAGTTAATCTACCCAAACCCACCCAACACATTCAGATTTTAATGTCATCTGTTATTTGCTCAGTACCTTCAACACAGACTAGAAAGGCATTTCAGTATTAATTAGTATCTAACAGTATGTAGAGTTTGAAAAGGTATATCCAGTTAAGTTGTAACGAATTTGGTTTTAATATCAAGTAATGATACATTTAAAAATCATAATAGAAGTCAATTGCTCTGCTAAGATGTTTCTTAATGTGCTGTAACATCACACAGATGTATTTATTACAAATAATGAAATTGTAGTGCTAAACTAATCAAATTCAGATGAATTCGATTGCATATGTTTCAGTGAAACATTGTTTAGGAAACACAAAATGAACTAAAAAAATCAAAGGTTCATTGCCTTATAATCAAAAGCAGTGAGTTTTAATCTTCAATTATCCAGGTGAGAAGTTTACCGTGTTTAGTTGTGCTCTTCGTGGGAAGTTGTGAAGAACATTTGATGTCTCTTGAACTTGCTATCTCATCTGTCCTTGTTTTATGGACCTCCTGTAGATATGTTAAACCATAGGACAGGAAGAAGAGGATAGCCACAGTTCTATTAAAAAATATACATCAGGGCCGCCTGGGTGGCTTAGTTGGTTAAACGTCCGACTTTCGCTTAGGTCATGATCTCGCGGTTCGTGTGTTCGGGCCCCGCGTCAGGCTCTGTGCTGACTGCCAGCTCAGAGCCTGGAGCCTGTTTCAGTCTGTGACTCCCTCTCTCTCTGACCCTCCCCTGCTCACACTGTCTCTCTCTCTCCTAGAAATAAATAAAACATTAAAAAAAATTATAAAAAAAAATATACATCAATGTGGAAACTAATTTGACAATAAACTATTTGTAAAAATATATATATATAAATAATATATATATATATAAATATAAATATATATATATATATATATATATATACACATCAGCGGGGCGCCTGGGTGGCTTAGTTGGTTAAGCGTCCGACTTTCGCTTAGGTCATGATCTCGCGGTTCGCAGGTTCAAGCCCCGCCTCGGCCTCTGTGCTGACTGCCAGCTCAGAGCCTGGAGCCTGTTTCAGTCTGTGACTCCCTCTCTCTCTGACCCTCCCCTGCTCACGCTGTCTCTCTCTCTCTCTCCTAGAAATAAAAAACATTTAAAAAATGTATATACATCAGCATTTACAAATAACATGTGTAGTGTTCAAGGATCTGTCATTTCCAAAGGAAATTGCAAGATCTTTCACTTCCTTCGTTCTTGTTTTTTGTTATTTTTGTCTCTCTTTCTTTTTTCCCGTGTCTGATGGTGGCCAACCAGTGTGGAACAATAGGGAATACTATTCATTCACTACCCTAGTGTTGGAGACAAATCAGGACTCTTATCAGAAAGAAAAACAGCAAATATAACATTGCTATATCCAAATAACTATGAAAGTCAGAAATCACTTTTTCTCATAAATTCAAAAGTGGCAGTCTTTCGGTGAAAATGCCTTTTTAGTGATTTCACAAAACTTCTAACAAGAGACATGTGTTGAATTAACACATTTGTAATCAACCAGTGCTTTCTGCTAAGTCTTTATATAAGGAAAGTAGAAATATTAGCAGGTATAGAGTTACAAATTAAGAAGGTACTTGAAATATAAGAGCTGAGCCTTTCTTAGAATAATAAACCAAGTCTCACTTTTGACTTAGTCTGACCTGGTCATTTCTCATTATAACCCTATTTTGATCTTCAATTTGAAGGCAGCAAGGTTCAAGGTAAATAGATCATTGCCTTCCAAAAGTTTGGTTTTTCTGTCACTTTTCCAGGAAAGTAGATTTTGAATATCAAAAATATGTATGTTCTGTATTCCCTAGCTGATAATTTGAACTACTGTTAGATTCCTGGGAATTTTTTTATTGTCATTGAGGTTCCATTAAACTTAGTTCTCAAATAGCTTCTTAGAGTTTATTCATCAAATAATTCAGAGTGTAAAAGTAGCACATAAACATTAATTGAGCAGCCATTAAGCAGTATGACTGTTTGTTTTTGGTTGATAGAGGACATAAAGCTCCATACCCTGTGGTGGAAAACAATTAGGTCTTATGACGAACACGCCATTAAATATACTACTACCAGACTCAGACCAGTTTCACTGTACAGAATGGCAGTCAGCCGTAGTTAGAAGCCTGCCCAAGTTATAGGAAGTCATATTTTTACTGTCATGACTTAGCTGCTTATAAATATTGTAGTGTGCCTCATGCCTTATGCTAATGGCAATGACTAATGGTTGTCATTATCTTCATTCAATCTCATAAAAAACTTCCTCAGGAGAGACTGATCATAGCTACAATGCTGCTTAAAGTTAAACCAGTTTTCAAAAACATAGAATATAAAAAGCACTTAAGGACAAGGGGTTGGATGGGTAATTTATTTTGTTTTGAGTATGTCTGACAACTGCTGCTGCTGTTAAATTTGCCATGAACCAAATTGATACACCATATGGGAGTGCCTTAGAGATGCCTATATGTGAGATTGCATAATGCTCTAAATTGTTCTGCTCATCTGGGACTATAGGTGAAGACGGATGATAGAGAAACCAAGAGCAGGAATAAATCTGACACTGATTGAAGTTCAATGTTTTAAATGATGGAGGTGAGCCCCTCATCTGTTTGATTTCATTTGTGCACTCTGTTTACAAGACGGGTACAGAACACTTTGTTAGGAGCCCAAAAAGAAATGCTTAAATGGATGAAGCAGATCTTTGCGTCTGATAGTAGCTAAGTGGGACATTCATGAATGTTATAATTCAGTGAGTTATCAGCAGTTATTCTTCCTAGCTGTTATAAAACTATATTTTTATAAGAAATGTGCATTTTAAGGTGCAACAGCACTGAACTGAACTAGGTTGTAGTTCAGGATATTGCTATTAACTGTAGTACTAATAATAACAATTATTTCAGTGACTAGTCTTTATACCTAGGTTTTCCTACATTGTAGCAGCACAGCAGTAATAGTTGATTCTCTTGTGCACATGATTTTCATGTGCCTTATACCTTCAGAACTTGAGGTTATGAATTTCTGTGTCCCAGAATAAATTTGAAACAAAAATCAATAAGGAAATATATTTTGTTGAGAGCTTCTGATGAATAGTCACACGAGTTTTGTTAATATGGGGATGAGGGAGAGAAAGTTCCTGAGAAGAGGAAATGTCATCCACTATACCTGATATGTCTTTATGGAGCCTGTGTCTAAAGAGTTACCTTGGCTATCCTTCCCAATGTCACCTTTTTGTCTTAGAGGGTAAGAGCAGTGTTCCCGGCAAGAAGGATGATATGCAGTGGGTGTCCAATAAATGTTTGTAGAGTGAAATGGGGTAGGATGGAGCACAGTGGTATAAAGCACAATAGGCTAGGGCCATGACTATTTCCCCTCTTAAAATTCTACTTAGTTCTAAAACAAAAGTAGAAATAAATATATGGATGAATGGTAGTCAGTGATACAGATGATTGAAAATAGAAGTCTGTTTTCTTTTTTAGGCACATTTTTATTAAAAAATAATTTGTGAGGTGCCTGAGGCTCAGTTGGAAGAGCATGCGACTCTTAACCTCCAGACCGTGAGTTCAAGCTCCATGTTGGGTGTAGAGTTTAAATAAATAAAATAAACTTTAAAAAAGTAATTTGTTTCAAGAGTGTACAGTGTATATGTTTGTTTTAACGAGACAGAAAATTATGTAAGAGATTTCAGAAAGTTTCTCTTGAAAGTAATTAAAATAACTTTTTAAAAAATTCCTTTTCCTGGCCAGAGAGACTTTAGGAAATTCTTCAGCTAAGTTATAAATATTATAGAAACGTCAGTGCCTCCTATTTTGTCTCACAGGAGCTTGGGAGAAGGCAGCAGCATTACTTTATGCCCATCTTCAATCTGATCCAAACATACCGTCTTTTCAAAGAGTTCCGTGTAAATTCTTCTGCACAATCTAACACTCCCTTAGGAATTTGTTTTCAGCTAGAAAGTACATTACAGATAAGGTGGCCGTGCCCCCTGGTTTATATCTGTTTTTCCAGTGTGATTATTAATGGCACCACCTTTCATTCTCACACATGTCCCAGTATGGATGACAAATTATGGTTAACTTTATATATAAATAATAATTAAATGTTAATCAATAAAATAACCCTTATTGGAAGCTTGCTATTTCTCCAATACTGAAATGCTTTCATGTATAGTGAATTCTTCACAATAACCCAATGAGGGAGATTTTTTATTGCTCCCATCTTACAGCTGAAGAAACAGAGACAGAAAGATTGAAGAGCATGTCCTCCTGTCATCGTGGGCAAACTTGAAACTAGACAAAGATCTGACTCTTTAACAACAGAGGCCAGAAGACAGTATACTATATTCCTATTTGCTGGTTGATATGATCAAGAGGTATAATTTGTTATTCTTCCTAGATATTATAAAACCATATATTTGTAAGGAGTGTGCATTTTAAAATGCAAGGAAAGAGCAGTGAACTAGGTTATAGTTCAGGACATTACTATTACTGTACTAATGATTATAACCGTTATTTATTCAGTCACTACTTTTTATACTTAGAGTCTTCCTTGTGTTTTCTGACTCTTAAGATAGCTCTATGAGGCAGAACATTCAGTCCCACAAATGTGTGTGGATTTCTGTAGCTACAATTGGTTCAGGGGTTAAAAGGAAGATTGGGGATCATTTCATTTCAGCAGGCCTCTCCAACTCTGACATCCTAGGACTAGATGGTAATTGGTTACCAGACTACAAGGCATGAAATCTAGATGCTGAAGAAAAATTGGAGGTGGGGGGTGAAGAGATTTCCCTAACAGCTCATATTTATATTAGCTATCATCCATTAAGGGCTTACTAAGGGCATGAACTTTATAAACTTGTTTCTTTTGTTTTTCTCCTCCCCATAGGGCAAATAAGAAGAGAATTTGGATTTGAACGAACGTAAGTTTGAACTCCACAATGCTAGAATTATATTATGTTTCTATAAAACTCTCTAGGGCTTGCCCTAATTCAGAAACTTTTCTGAAAGGCAATATTAAATAAAGATGAATAAATAATATTTGCTTATAATCAATTTTGTTCCAGCACTGTGTAAAGAATATGAATAAAAAAGCAGATATGAGCATATTATATAGAAGTTGTTGCAAGGAAATTCCTTTTTCACAAAAGAAGTGTGGAAATTCTTACTAATGCAGACTAGGTTCTATGTGCTCCAGAGAACAAAGTAAATAGAAGTCTGTGCCTATACCCAAAAATGATTAAAATTCACTTGGGGATTTAAGAATATAAATGTATAAATATGGATTATATGCTATTATAAGATGCCAAATCGTACAGTGTAATTTGAACAGGGGTTCTTAACTGGGAGTACATTATGTGTAGTGTGCTTTAAAAATACAAATGCCCAGACCATATTTGCATTGACTTAATAAGTTTCTGAGGTTGGAGCCTGGAAATGTGTATTTTTTAAACTCTACAGGTGATACTGAAGTGACTGTGAATAACAACCACTGATTAAAATATATATGGAATATACTAATATGTTAATTATGCAGCTTAAGAAACAAGAGGTTAAGCTGGGCTGGGATTTTAAAAGATCGTTTCATAGAAGAGGTGACATTTGGATGAAAAGTCAGATATGGACAGAAGGTAGGTAAACCGTAACTTTTTTTCTTTTAATCTTTAGCTCAAAACAAAATCTTGCCTTTAAGGTTTTTTTCCTGCATTTGAGATTCCTATTGGATTAATCTGGAAGAGATAACACAATTTATAATACCTGGAAATGTTCCATTATCTTCTGATATGAAACTCAGATTTCAAGTCTTGCTTGAAAGCTTGTATATTATTATAGATTATATGTTGATATTATATATAGAGAAAGATATAGGTAGATAGATAGAGATTATACTAGCTTTAATAAAGAATTTTTGTCACAATTAGTAAATGCAGTTTAGACTGCAAACTGCCAAGGACAAAGTTTATATTTTATTCAAATGTGAATTCTTAAATCTTTACCATAGAGGCTGGTATCTAAAATATGTCTATAATATGTATTTGTCTGTTAAATGAGTGAGGTATTTAGGTTTACCCAGTTTATTCATTCCACCTTGTTTGTGGGGAAAATTCCAATGTTCTCCATTTGAAGGATCAAGCATTTGATCTATAAAGGGTTTGGTTAGTTTGTGTTTTTGTTTCTTGAACCAGAACCAATGATTTGGCAAAGATGTTCAACAATCATTACTTTATAAGAGTAAGCTTTTAGGCTTTTTCCTTACCAATTAAAATGACGGAAGGGAAAGAAGAAAAGTGGAAAAGGCAAAGGAGTTGTGAGCACCTTAGCAGTAGGAGGCATTTTCTGTGCATGTTTGTACCCAGAACATCTAGTAAACCCCTATTCTCAGACCAGGCTCTGCATGGAGGACAAAATCGCCGAGTGTGTCAGTGGGAAGGAGCAAGCCTTTCCAAGCTTTCTACACACCTGCTTTTTTGTAGAACAGGGTTGCTTTGCCATTGATTTGGTTTGGGTTGTTAACTGTTGTAAAAGCATGACTGCCAAAAAGATCACTTAGAAACTTTATGTTGCCGCATTGCATCTTCCCAGCACCAAACATGCCAAGTTTTCTTAGCATTTTGTTATTGCTGTGGTTGTTATTGTTATATAATAAAGAAGATATTCATATTCCTCCAGTGGAATTTTATAATACGTTTGGAAACAGTTTCCTAGGGGAGAAAATAATAGGAAGAAGAAAGAATAAACAGAAAACAAAACACAGAAGAGAAAAGAATATGGTGATATGATGGCAAAGCTTTTAATTTCTTATTCATTTACGTTTTGGAGAATAAAGGGAAAAATGGAAGGCATTACATGGTGTTTAGCTGTAGACATGTATTTGTAAAACTGTTTAACATGAGGCAGCTATGACAGTAAGGTCAGATATTTAATTTTGGTATTAGAGAAGGGAAAGGTAGGATCCAGAAGGAGGAGTTGGGGCAGAAGCAGCTGTCACAGAACAGGATGTCTGTGAGCTGAGCCTTGGTGCCCCTCAGGGGAAGGCCTGATTGTCCATCCCTATTGTTTCTGGTTCCAGACATGGCTCTAGGCTAGAGGGGCTTTTATTTTTTTTTTAATATTTTTATTTATTTCTAGGAGAGAGAGAGAGAGAGAGACAGCGTGAGCAGGAGAGGGTCAGAGAGAGAGGGAGTCACAGACTGAAACAGGCCCCAGGCTCTGAGCTGGCAGTCAGCACAGAGCCCGACGCGGGGCTCGAACCCACGAACCACGAGATCATGACCCAAGCGAAAGTCGGACGCTTAACCAACTAAGCCACCCAGGCGCCCCTAGAGGGGCTTTAACAAATGGCCGCTCTTCCTTAAAGGACCATTAGATAGACTCTTGAGGTAACTATATTATTTTTTTATTTTTTTAAATGTTTCGTTTATTTCTGAGAGAGAGACAGCATGAGCAGGGGAGGGTCAGAGAGAGAGGGAGACAGAATCTGAAGCAGGCTCCAGGCTCTGAGCTGCCTGTCAGCACAGAGCCCGACACGGAGCTCGAACCCATGAACGCTGTGATCATGACCTGAGCCGAAGTCGGACGCTTAACGACTGAGCCACCCAGGCGCCCCGAGGTGACTATATTCTATAACAGACACATGGAATCCTTAGGTTAAGCCAAACCCAGAACTCCCAGATTGCTAACTGGACTCTTAGTAACTAACCATCCTGGCTGCAAAATAACCCAAAGAACTATGGTTTGAAAAATGGCTGGTACCTGGCTCAAGGTATATACATCTACTGATCATCAGAGTAATAGCTGCACTTTCTTGGCCTTGCCTCTCCCATCTCCAGCCGCTACATGACAGCCTCATCCCAGACAAGCCTGATTATCATTGGCAAAATACATTCCAACATAAACATGATTACAAAATTCATTATAAGCAGTGATTGAATGTGAACATATCTAAAACGTTTTAATTCATAGTGAGTTGCATAAAACAGCTGAAAATAAAATGGATTTGTGTTTTAAGAACATTTCAAGAGTGGATCATCACATCCATAGCATACATGTCATCTTGAGTACAACAGTAATTTCAGTCAGCCCCTAGGATGCTGGAGCCATATGCCAATGGTCTAAATATGCACATCTTTTCTCAATGAAGCATTCAGTGACTTCACTTTGGTAGCTTGAAGTGGACTCTCGTGGGACTACTTATACCGTGGAAATTGTGCAGGGTTCGGGTCAATCCAGTCATGTTGCTCTTTTAAAAACATACCAGAGACTGGGTAGATTTTAAACAACAGAAATTAATTTCTCTCGGATCCCTAGCTTGGGCATCTGAGATTAGGGGGCCAGCATGGTTGTGTGAGGGCCCTCTTCCAGACTGCAGACTTCTCCTTCTATCCTTACATGGCAGAAGGGCTAGGGAGCTCTGTGAAATCTCTTTTATAAGATCATCAAGCCCATTCATGAAGGCCCCACCTTCATGACCTAATCATCTCCCAAATGTTCCATCTTCTAACACCATGACATGGGTGTTAGGATTCCAATACGTGTATTTGGGGGGCAGGGTGCAGAACAAACATTCAAACCATAGCATGCTACAAATCACGGCCTTTTTTTTTTCTTTTGCAGAAAGGAAGTGAGCCGCTTTAGCAGCCCACCATTGAGTTACATGCACATTTTAAAAGAAGAGGCCCAATTCAAATATATGTCTGTAATTAAGAACACTTGCTAGGTGTATATTTAAAAAAAAAAAATACTACTTAAGAAACACAGTATTTTGTTACACTGCTAAGGCTCATGTCTCTTACTGTGTCAGTTAACCTCCCCATCTCTTTTCGTCCCTCTCTCCTTAAAATAAGAATATAATAATACCTACGTCATACGATTGTTCCAATGATTAAATGAGTTCATCTATCTGATGCACTTTTAAAGTGCCAGGGAATGTAGGTGCTCAATAAGTATTTTCTATCGCCATCAGCAGATGAAACTATATGGTATTTTATAGTCTTCTCTGAAAAGACTGCCTATTTTCAGTGGTTATTTTCCTTGTTGGGCTTTTATATCTTTTAGAAGCCCATACCTAACTTCCATAAGTTCTGTGAAGATCCGTTAAATGAAAGCATATCAAATCACTTTGAAATGCATAAAGCACTATGTAAATGAAAGGTGGAATAATTATGTTAAAGGCATCATCCTGAATTTTGTTTATACTGCATCTTTGAAATGAGCATCAGATTTTTCTCTAGGCAGTTACTGCTCCTAGAGAAACAAACACAGATGGTGCCCAAACCTCCTACTGAATAGTTCTAGGCAATGGCATTTTTCAAAATACCGCAGGTCACTAAATGTGCAAAGACTCAAAACAAACCCCACATCTCAGTGTCAGGCCAGCATGGTAATTTAGGCAAATAAGCCTTTGTTTGATAATTCAGGGATTTTGTGATTTGTAGAATGTACTAGCACAACAAACAGAAGAACTTCCATGTGGGCTAAGTTTTACAAAATAGGACATTAAAATGCAATTTCTTTTAGAGGAAAAAAAATGAGTTTTCTTTACTGATGAGTGTTTTTGCCAAATTAGAACCAATTTTGGGGGTGTGCATGCAGATGTTGAGATGTTATGCTGACCTTCTATCCACACAAAGCAGAGAAAGAGAGGAGATGTGTTTTAAAGATGTTTTTTTCTTATAATCAAACCTTCTGAGAACCCATTCTTTGGAGTGAAGGCTTCCTTTTGTAAGCAAGGCAGTCCCATGATCTGGCTCACTAGAGGACAGGAAATTCTGACCCCGGAGGCTTCCTTTCCCGGAGAGCAGTCTCAGGGGAACCGTAGCTGGCTTCGGTCAATGAGGCTTGAGGAGGGGGACACTGGGAAGACACAGGAGACGGGGAAGAAGGGAGCAGTCAGGGCACTTCTCTCGACATTGTTTGCCTCCTGCACCTTCTCACGCAGCAGTCATGTGTCTTCCATGCCCACCTCCTGCCAGTGAAGCCTGCCGCGGTTCCTGTTCTTGCCTGGGTAACTCAGGCCCGCTGCCTTACAGCAGCCTCTCCTTACCCTGTGTCCCTGGAGCTAGGCTTCGTTCCAGCTCGCTCCTGGTGCCTCACTTTTCCCTGGTTGGTTCTTCTCTTTTCTCACCTGCTTCAAGTTTTAATCAGTTCCCTGCATTTGAATCCTTCACTTAGTGAATATTACAAGTGGATCCCGTTTTCCTTGACTGGACCCTGACTGACCCAAGATCTAACAAAGGCCACCTGCTCAGCGGATTTCTTAGGCAAGTGACAGTGTGGGAAGTACAGTTCTTCTGTACTCATCATGAACACCTCAGAGGTCCGTCTTGGGCACAAACTCCTGCAGTCACCGTTCCCTTTGCAGTTCTTCTCCTTTAGTTAAATGATAAATCTTACCTTGAGCCTGTTCTGCACCGTATCCCTGAGATGGAGGCAGAGAAACAGTATTTTTCTTTGTTCCTGCTAACAGTGTCACAAGGCTCCCGGCCATTATACTTGTCAGACTGGTCTGACCCCTTCCTCAGGCCACACCTCGCAAATTCACCTATAGGTTGTAGTTTTCACAAATGTTAATGCCCTTCCTAGAAAGTCAAAAAGGATGCCAGAATCCACAGATTATTTCCACATATAACAG